AAAAAAAAAAAAAAAAAAAAAAGATTTCTTTCACCATGCTGACAACACCCAGATGTCTTATAACCTTGGACTTCTCCCTGAAAAAGATGGACAAGTGGCTTCTGAAGCTCTGTGTTTAAAAAATATGTAATATTTGATTGAATATTCAATGTTTAATGTTTAGGTATACAGAGGGCCCTAAAAGTATTTGAACACGTAAAGGGAATTAACTTCCTTTTTTGTCACCTTCATGTTGTTGCAAACCTGAATTATTTTTTCTTCTGCAGAAGATATTTTGAAGAATGTTCACCAAACAGTTTTATTTACGAATGATTTCCATTGTATTGACATAAAAAACAGAGACATTTGTCAAAACATCCTCTAAGATGTTTCACCGAAATAATTATTTTGGGGCGAACTATATCCCCTTAAGGTGTATGAATTATAAAATGTTCAAACCCCCTAAAATTTTTTGAAAAATCCTTTTAAATTGTGCTTGTGCTGTCTGTCTCAATTAAAATCAATTCCACATGGTTTGATAAATTATCTAATCCAATAACATTCATACACTGTAAGTGTCATCTGTGTGTCGTTTCTTACCTCTCTTGATCATCTGACATGGACCCCGTTAAAGCTGCACTGATAGAGGCGTTCTTTCCTTTCAGACCAGGAACGAAGGGACTGTCTTGAGTCAGCGGAGGAGAGTGTATGAGAGGGTGATAGGGGTGAAGCAACCCCGTGTAACCCATAAGTGAGGAGGAGACCTGTGGCTGGAGCGAGTGGTGGAGGATGGGGTATATGGGTGTGGGGTAGGGATATGCTCGAAGGGAGTGGAAGGTCATAATTTCTCTACAGTTTAACACCATGCTCCTAGACGAGCTGACCGGCGGCCAGCAGAAGAGAGAGCTTGGAGACGGAGAGCTGGAGGAGATGATGGTGTCACTGGAGAACATGGGAGGCAGAGGAGACACGGGAGAACAGCTCTTCTTATGTGCATCGTGGACCGACCTCTTGGTGGAAGAACGTTCTTCTTCTAAAGAACAATCAAGGTGGTCTTCATCCAAATTGCGGCTAGTTTTAGACAACCGAGTGTCCTTGTGTGCTTTGTCATCTTGGAGGGAATTTATCACTTTTGTGTCAGTCTTATTTGGGGATTCTGGATCTCTAAGTTGTGCTTGACATTGTTCTACCAAAGACTCCACTTCCAGGTACTCAGCGCCCCTCAGCAGCTCCTCAAGATCATCTTTGGGCACCTCCAGCGATTCGCTGTACACATAGTCTAGGATTTGCTTGAAGGTGTGGGAAGAGACTCTTTCTATAACGCAGCAGTACCCTGGACCGTGCTGTTTTGTTAGCTGACGCTTGAGACGTTTGCTCGCCAGCGCTAGTATCAGTGCGTGGGCTTTAAATGAAAGGCCCTCCACAATGAGAAGCGTGTCACAAAGGGTTCCGGCCTGGCGGAGCTGCTCCGTCTGATGCAGAAATGGCACATGGTGAGGGTTATGAATGCGGATCATCTTCAAAGAGTGAAAGGTGCGGCTGAAGAAAGATGATCAGGTTTGATGTCGAGATGAGAAATCTCATGCCAGCCTTTAGATGGGGGAAAAACAGAGGG